TCATATAAAACATCAGCTTTATACATCTTTCAACTAGTGTTTAAGCACCACTGTTCTTTAAAAAGTACAAACAAAAAGGTCTCATTAATTTCTCAATAGTTCTGTAAAGAGGCAGTGATTGAAGAGTTTTTAAAAAGATCTATACTAAGAATCTTTTTAATCAATTATATAATTTAAACACTAATAACTGGGTGAAAACCAAAATGAGGACAACTATGAACACATGTTTTGTAATGATATCTGAGATTCATTTTCACCAGCAGGCTAACACATTCTGGAGGCACAGCTACTAATAGGAAGTGCTCCTGAATCTGTAAAATACCAGATAACTAACTAATAACGAAACCACCAATAACCACTAAAAACTATTCTTTTTTAAAGGTATTGCAATAGCTGTCCTCATCCACCTTAAAATCTGTACTAGAAAAAGAAAACAAGAATCTAATTCATTTCTTAAATATCCTTCAGTAAGTTTTCTACACAGTTTGCAACTGTGGGGTGTGTGTGTGTGTATGTATGTATTTTGTGGTATGCATATATTATTTTTAAAATTTTTATTGTGTTGAAATGTAATGTAAGAGTTCCCACTGTAACCATTTTTAAGCACACAGTTTCATGGCATTAATTACACTGTCAATGTTGTGCAGTCATCGTTACCATTTTCATCAAACTCCCCCGTCCTGTGTATATATTTAAATACAAGAAAGGTAACACTACCTGTAGGGATATGCCTTTTTAAAGGCCTGATCATCCACGTCTGTATCGGAGAAGGCAATGGCACCCCACTCCAGTACTCTTGCCTGGAAAATCCCATGGACGGAGGAGCATGGTAGGCTGCATGCAATCCATGGGGTCGCAAAGCGTCAGGCACAACTGAGCGACTTCACTTTCACTTTTCACTTTCCTGCACTGGAGAAGGAAACGGCAGCCCACTCCAGTGTTCTTGCCTGGAGAATCCCAGGGACGGCGGAGCCTGGTGGGCTGCCATCTATGGGGTTCCACAGAGTCGGACACGACTGAAGCGCCTCAGCAGCAGCAGCATCCACGTCTGCACACCTGAAGCTACCCTCGTCCTTCTCCCAGCAGCCCTGGCTTCCCGCGGGGCAGCTGTCCTGCAGTCTCCCTGGCCAGCCCCTACTGACGATGCGGGTCCCCGGCTCTGCTGTGCGACAGCGCTGCAGGGGACCCCTCTCCCACCCAGACGCCTGTCCGACAGCGGAGCCGGGGGCCGCTCCCAGGTGCTGGGCTGGAGAGCAGACGCACATCACATGCCCACACAGACTATCACACTGTCCTCCAGAAAGCTTCGCTGGCTTATCTTTACCAGCTCCACATCCGAACTGCCTACCAAACATGCCTTTCCTCACTCAAGACACTTTAATTCTCTGCTAATTTGATAAAAGAATTTCAAAATGAGCATTTTTCTATGTTTACGGGCTCTTTGTACTTCTTTCCAATGAAAAAATCTGTTTACCCCCTTCGCCCATTTCTTTTTCTGAGCTGTTCATCTTTTCCCTGTAGATTTGAGAGTTCTCTATTAACAGAATTACCTGGCACCTCTGGCACGTTACAAATTCTTTTCCTAGGTGAATATTACTTTTTGATTTAAATGTACCAGTTCTATGGTTGCTATAAATTGTGTTGTGTTTAGAAGCACCTTCTATATTACAAGGTTATTAAAAAAATGTTGCCTATATTTTTTCCAAGTACTTAAAAAAAATAAACAGCTCTATCATTGTCCAAATTAAATTGTTCCAACACATTTAAAGAATAATGCATTGAATTCCCTTGACATTTACAGTCTAGTCTCTACCACAGTCAGGCGGTGAGGCTGTGTTTTACAGGTAAGGAGTTTCCTCACGTTCTAGACAAGACAGAAAAAGGTCACAGTGGATTGTGGGGCTGCTGCCGGAACATTATCCACCACTATGCCAGTCACTGCACTTACCCCTGCTTGCTCAGTAAGAAGCTAGAACCAGAAGGGGCCCCAACAACCTGAAATTAGGAGTTTTAAGAAAAACAAAAGGAAGTGCTATTTTACATAGTAAGTTATAAACGTGTGAACTAACTACTCTGAAAGGCAGTATAGCTTCAAAAGTCAAGGAGGGTTCAGATAAATTAAAAAATAGTAGGCACAAAGTTAGTTATTTATGAACATCTGCAGGTGGAATGTTACCTTTTAGAGAGATCTTTCTAAAAATATGATTTAAAAGAAAGACACGACAGTAAGAAAGATGGATAAGCAGCAGCAGCTGTGTGGCTTTAACCTGCCTGTGTGGGAAGAAAGCCAAATTCAAAACAAGTGGTGCTGAAAAGACTAAAAGGACACTGATTAGGAAGAGGGTGGTGTACTGAGCCGAGGGCAGGGGGCAGCCTGCCGGACCCACAGGCAGAGGAGAGGGCCGGCTCCTTCCTCTGACGCACAGCAGGCAGATTCTTTACCAGCTGAGCTACAAGGGACGCCCTCCTCTACACCCTTGCCTCCAAACAAACTGTCCTCTGGGGGAGAAGGCAACGCCAGCATCACTAGAAAAGCCCAAGAGGCATATCCCTGGAACAAAAATAGTATTTTCTTACCAACATTCAGAAAATGAAATAATGGAAAACCTGAGAGCAATGTTTTCCAAAGCTACCAATTAACAACAGTATTTATAAAACACACCACAATCTTGGCCCATTTAAATTGTCCTTACATCCCGGATAACTGAGACCATAGATGGCTATTGAAAATATTTTTACCCTATTTAAATAAATCCAAATGCTCAAATTAATTAATTACGGTCATGCATTCTGTATTTTGTTACTCCTGGATTCAGCTTATTTTTTCTTTGCTTTCAAAGGATCTGATTAGATTTAATGTCAGATTGGACTAGAAAAATCCAACCTTTATAAGTTGGTTATAATTTCTTCTAACCAACCTGGCAGAAAAAAATTAGACTTACACTGACCAGTTTATACTACACTTAAGTAGTGAGAAGTCTTCATAATATAACAAAATTTGAGATTGATTTAAAATTTGTGTTTATGAGTTAAACTGCTTCAGCCGATCCTGAGCTAATGGTTGAGACAGGTCCCCGAATTAAAATATGATAAATAGCTCTATGTTTTGTTTCCTTCACTTATTTTATGATCATTTCAATATAATTCCCCTTTATTGAAATGCTGTCCTTTACTTATTATTACAGTTTCACCCGTGTTTTTGTATAATTCAGTATAATTCAGTGAATCTCAACTGGGTTGACTTTGCCTATCTGGCAACATTTGGAGCCAGTTTTGACGACTATGGTGAGGGTGGTGCTACAGGCCAGAGACGCCGCTGGTTATCACAGTGAGGAAGCGTCAGGCCCCAAATGTTAACAGCACCCAGGCTAAGAATCCCTGGTAAAACGTCAAGTAACGTTTAACTGGGCTTCCCTGGTGTCTCAGTGGTAAAGAACCCGCCTGCCAACAGAGGAGACACAGGAGATGTGAATTTGATCCCTGGGTTGGGACAATGCCCTGGAGAAGGAAATGGCAACCCACTCCAGTATTCTTGCCTGGAGAATTCCATGGACAGAGGAGGCTGCAGTGTATGGGGTCACAAAAGAGTCGGATACAATTTAGCAACTAAACAACAACAAGATTTAACTACTATTTCTTCACATTTTATCTTGAGTAAACTTTAACTGGCCAACATTCTCAGGTATTATAGACTAACAAAATATAAGAGAATGCTCAACTACGGTGATAACTTCACCTCCGAATTTTGAATATCTGAGCCAGACTAATTTGTAATTCAGGATGTCCACAAAAGCTATTTTAAAATGTATAAAATCTGCAATTAACATTTAGCAACAGTACTTTGAAAAACTCTCTTAAAAGGTTAAGATATAAATATCCTATAAGCAGATAACTGTGAGATGGTTATTAGGCTTTACACTATTTAAAGCCTTTCATGCAGTTAAAAATATCAAGAGATATCTCCTAAAGTTCATTCATTTCTAAAGAGGTAGGAAGCAGCACCATTTTCAGATCCATCTGAAATAATCAGATAGTCATTTAGCAATAACTGAACCAGGCCAAGTACTGGAGCTTCGGCTTCAGCATCAGCTTCAGCATCAGCATCAGCATCAGCATCAGCCCTCCGAAAACATACGCAGGGCTGATTTCCTTTAGGGCTGGCTGGTTTGATCTCCTTGCCATCCAAGCTCCCACACTTTGGCCACTTGATGTGAAGAACTGAATCATTGGGAAAGGCCCTGATGCTGGGAAAGAGTGAAGGCAGGAGGAGAAGGGGATGACAAAGGATGAGATGGTTGGATGGCAGTACCAACTTGATGGATAGGAGTTTGAGTAAGCTCCAGGAGTTGGTGATGGACAGGGAAGAATGGCGTGCTGCAGTCCATGGGGTCGCAAAGAGTCAGACACAACTTGAGTGACTGAACTGAACTGAACAAGGTAGTCACCCAAATTGGTCAAATTCATTAAAATTAATATTAAAATTTCAGTACATTTTTCTCAAATTATTCCACTTTTCCAAGTTTTCCAGAAACAGTACAATAACAGTACCAACTGCTGGATCTGTGGCCACCTTCACATGCACTGCACCTGCAAAGAGGTAGGGGCTCACGCTGAAAGTGCAAGTCATGAGCCAATGTCACAGAAGTCATGTCCTGCTCCAGCCAGAGCTTTGACACTGACCGCCTTGCCTCAAAAGAGGACCCTTTTCCTTCCTCGCCCTCACTTGCGAGGATATTCCCAGCTTATGGGGCCGGTGTTCAACATGCCAGACTTTCATAAGCAACTCTTAATGAACACCCTGCCTTCTCACTAATAATCAATGCTATAAAAACAGTCTGCAGCAGGCTTAAGAGGCAAGGTCTTTGTTAGAACCCAGCAAAAGAGTGCCACACACAGACCTAACAGCTATTTTGTTCGTGCTTTCAAGGAACAGCACGAGCTTGACGCATCACAAGCTTTCACACGTGTGCTCTGTTCTGTCAAGCCAGAGTACGATTTACCTGGTTGTTACTGTTGGTGGCTGATGCATTGGCTTGGGCTGTACTTGCTGACAGGGAGTCGAGGAAGGCTTGGTCGGCCACTGAATTTCCACAAGCAAACTGATCTTTTCCATCACTGGGCAAAATCTGAACATTAGGAAGGACCACAGTTACTTACTTTCATAGACTATAGATTTATTTCAGAGTTAGAATCCCTGATGGCAAGTAAACTATCAGAAGGTTTCTATTCTTAAAAGGTATGAGCTCAAGAACATCTGCCCTAACGATTCCTTTCTGCAAGTGTGCAGAATTCTTTAGAAAAACGCGACTAATACCAGGATCAGCTTATTACATCTTTCTCATTCTCGTCAGTTTTTAGGATCCTGAACGCACGGTGTACAGACGTCAAATACAACATAACATGAGACATGTGGGCTGGGTTCAGGGACCTGTGAATCCTCTGAAGCTGTCTGAAAAGGTGGGGTGCCTGCCCGTGCACATGTCGGGCTGGCCAAAGACTTCATTTGGGTTTTTCCAGAAAAGATGTTCTAGAAAAACCCAAACGAACTTTCTGGCCAACCTAACATTTCAGCAATTTCATCAGTATTGTCAGGAGCTCTCAAAACACCCCACTGAACTCTCAGTCAGGGACAACAGCCAGCCTTCCCATTTTGCAGGCAGCGCCCAGCACACACCCTCCCAGGGCACGTGATCTCTCTACTGGAGGGGAACCCAAGGCAACTCTGTTTCTGAGTGTCACTCCAGTTTTACTCACAGGCCACCAGGCAGGCAGCCTCGGTTTCTTGCTATCACCCGGGATGAGAGGCAAGCTCATCATGGACCCGGGCTCCGTTCTGCGTGACCTACGGACAGCCAGCAGGGGGCGCCAGGAGGCTGACTCAGAGAGCCCTGGTCAGCTGGGTGGGGTGTGTCCCCACACCATCCTGGGCATTTATCATTACAGAGCTTACCCTACAGCTCACTGAAGACCCTGGGTCTTTGAGAATGGGAGAAGGAGCTGACAGAGGTCCTAGATTAGCACAGGGAGAAGAAAGCGACCTCGGACAGCCTGCTACTTACATTGTGAATCTACTCTACGGTAAACAGCATGGCAGGCAGCAGCTTCTACACAGAATCAGTAAAGGGAAAACAGAGACTTTTATCCAGAAAAACTAAAAGTTGCTATCCTTGGAAGGAACTTTAGCTAAGTATTTGGAGTCACTCTTTGGCATATAAGTCTGTAGGTATTATTTCTTCTTGGTTCTACTTCAATGAATTTTCTACATTTTATATAATCAGCATGTATTATTTTTACAATGGAATTTTTTTCATTAAAAATAAAGTTATCTTTCATTCTTGTCCTTTAAGTTGATAATTCATAAAAACACATATGACAAAAACCAGGTTTAATTAATAAACGAGAGTAAATTCTTACCTCAACATAGTCTGTTGGAACAAGCCCTCGTTCTCCTTTGCTGTTTCTTCCTTCCAGCCATCCTCCACCAACATCCTCAAAAAGGTTAAAAAGAAAAAAAAGACTATAGTTGGAATTTCCTGCAGAAATTTGGCTCTGGGAAATTAAAAAGGTAATTAACCCATTAACCTTTTCATTCCTACAGGGCTAACGCTGTTAAAAATTTCAAATTCTTAAGCTTTCTCTGTATGCCAGAAAAGGAAATAATTTAAAAATGAGAAAAATCAAACCTCAACAATAATTGATCAGAGAGAGAGAAACAGAATCCAAGATTTTGTAATTTCTTTCTGTTGACTGGTCTGTGGTAGACTGAAAAAAATGGCTTGCAGCTCCGACTGTCAAGGGGCAGAATGCACCCCCACTTCCAGAATCTGCGCTGCGCTATGCTTCGTGACCTCTTCGGCCAAGAGACTAAGGTGGAGATGACATGGGGTGAATACAGAGCCGGGCTCAAGAGGCTCTGCACACTTTAGTTCACATTTTTTTTTTTTTCCCAAAAGAGCCGGTATTTGGGTTGTCAGATGATGACAGAGACAAGGCTCCGTCTCCCTGTTGGCCCACCCAAAGCCAGCCGACCCTCAGCAGGAGAAATGCCAGACAGACGAGGTCATGGTGGCCTGCTCTGCCCTAGCCCCGTGCTGGGTGATGCACACCCATGGATGAGCCCCGGTCAGGAGAACCACTTGGCTGGCTTGTGGATCCCCAAGCAACAATGATTGACTATTTGTTTAAGCCACTAAGCTTTGGGATTGCCTGTTATTTAGGAAAACTAACTGGCCCAACCTTCCTGAGCGCTCCTAGATAAATAATGTTAATAAACTAAACAGTAACGTACTCTATGCTAGGATTCCCAATTTTTAATGTTACCTTTGAAAAATCCTACTGCTTCCCTTTAAAATAATAAGGGCTATCTTAAATTCATAAACCATACCCTAATTAGTTAACATCCACCTGAATCTGGATAATATATTCTTTTAAAAAGTCATTTTAAATGACTTTGTCCATTTCTTGACCACAACAGCAATTTAAATACTATTTTAAGAAAATTAAATTAAGAAATTAAGAGTGCTTCTTCATTAAAAAAAATTAAAAAACAACAGTAAATATAAGCTTTCATGTCTTCTATGATTAAAAATAGAACCTATTTACTTATACACACCTGGAATACTATATAAAACTACATATATTTTTTCTAACCAGCAATTCTTTTTTTAACCATCAGTACTGCACAAGCAACAGGAAGGGAATTCATGTGGGTTTGAAAGATCAGCCTGTTAAAAAAATAAAATCTTAAACATAAATCCTTAAGAGACCAATTTAAACGTAACACTTCTCTTACCGGATTTGTAATTGTGATGATTTCACCTTCATTAACCGTCAGTTCATTATTTCCAGGTTCAGCAGAAAAATCATACATAACCCGAGCCTATTGGAAGTAAAAAGAGGAAGTTACAAATGTAAACGTAACAGTAAAAAAAAAAAACACCTATACTGCTCACTTTGTGAACAACATGTCATGACCGTGGTTGCGGTTATTTTGGAACAAAGGAAGACGTCGGATCAAAATGATTCATCAGCCCTGTTTGTGAAGAAGAACAGCACCAAGAGTGAGAGCCCTGCTCTGCTCTGGGACGAGGGAGGTTTCTGGTTGCTGCCCACACTGTACTTAAGAGATCGGCCCCAAAGAACTCAGAATAAACCCATTTCAGTAAGGGGAAAAGAGCACACATGGCCTTCCTTGCAGGAGGTAAGAAGTGGAAATACAGACACTGATCACTGTGGGCACAACGACTCTCAGGAACCGAGGGATCTCCGTGTTAAGTATGTACACACATGAGATGCACAGTCTTTAGATGAACCTCCTGCTATTAAAACTCTCACTGTTCTTTACCTAGGGTAAATGTTGATGGCGCTGCAACCCCAGCCAACTAAAATCACAGAAATCTGAGCTGTGTGCAAGATATATTCATACTCTTCTACTAGAATATTTCCTCCTAAGAAGAATAAAGTGTTGATTGCTCGGTCGTGTCCGACTCTCTGCGACCCCATGGACTCTAGCCCACCGGGCCTTTCTGCTCATGGGATTCTCCAGGCCAGAATACTGGAGTGGGTAGCTATTCCCTTCTCCAGGGGATCTTCCTGACCCAGGGGTCGAACCCAGGGCTCCCGTATTGCAGGTGGATGCTTTACCATCTGAGCCACACCAAGACTTATCTAGGGCTCTGGTATACTTGGGTCAGGTAACCTGAGCAGCTGTGATTTTAAAAATTGTTCTTGCCATGAAATCTGAATCTCACAGAAAATAGACTAAAGGGAAGCTGCTCTGGTTGATGTGAGGTTGATGTGGCTGATGTGGAAGCTGCTCTTTCAGGCCCTTCCTCAAGCAGATGCTTGAGGCACCAACCCTGAGACGTGGTTTCCTTGTAATAACTTGCCATGCACGTATTCCAAGAGAGACAACCACTGTTGTAAAAAATACATATACTTTATACATATACTTTCATAATATGTGCATTTAATCCGTCTCAAATTCTAAATAATTGTCTTTTCATGGATTGTCTTATAGAAGAAAGTCCATCTTACAAGTTAGAGACCACATGTACCCAGGAAACATGGTTTGTTTTAAACTTATCCTGGTGCTTCCCCGGTGGCTTAGTGGTAAAGAATCCGCCTGCCAAAGCAGGAGACGTGGGTTCGAGCCCTGGTCAGGGAGGATCCACAACTAAGCCCGTGTGCACAACTGCTGAGCCTGTGCTCGGAGCTGTGAGCAGCAGCTACTAGAGCCCCTGCGCCTGGAGCCCCAGCTCCAAGAGCGACAAGAGAAGCCGCCACAAGGAGCAGCCTGCACACCGCAACGAAGAGTGGCCCTCGCTTTCCGCAGCTAGAGAAAGCCCACACAGCAATGAAGGCCAAACAAGGAATATAAATAAATACACAGAATTATATATAAAAAAGTAATTGTCCTAAGAGGCAAACCTAAGTCTGCCTACAGGGTTCATCAACTAGGACTAGTGGGACTACATTCCTTTAACACATTTGCTGCACACCAACCACGTGGCAAGAACTGTGCTGACCAGTGCTTTCTCCACACCTGCTTAAGGATGCCAGCAATGCTTCTAACAGCGACCCAGGATTCACATCCAGTGGTAAAAGATTAGGGGAAAATATCCCAAATACTAATTTACTTTGAAATACATCAAAAATAGTAAGATGAACTGGTGGAGGAATGCGATAAAGCAGGTATAGTAAGTAAACTTATTTATGGAATCTGGATAGTGGGTTTATGGTGTCCAGTGGAAAATGAGTTCAACTTTTCTACACGCTTGAAATTTTTCATAATAAAATGTTGGAAAGAAACGAACAGCAGTGTACGGCATCAGATCCTTTACTTTTATACACTGGGAAGGGAGACTGAGAGCCAGGCTCAGGCAGAGTGAGAATTCTGCAAGTGTCACTGTCTTCCTGAGGTCACTACGGAGGACAGCGACCCTGGGCTGCGGCATGTTCCTCAGGCAGCTGCAAAAGGAGACAGAATTCGGCTTGTCCCATTGGGGACCGAAACATGTTTTTAAAAACAGGTCAAACCAACCTCAATCCCTCACGCAATGAGGGCAGATGGGAGATAAAGGCCTGAGGGAGAGGGGGGCTCCCCAGGCCAGGACGCACCCCCAGGACAAGAGCCAGACGAGAACCCACTGTTTTGATCCTGCTCCTTGAGGATCCATGGACGATTTTCTTGATTCAGTTAAATCCTACCAACCCTCAAATATAGAACAACAGAAGCCTCTCGTCTACTAAACTTAACAACTTGGTGAAACAGAATGTGAAACAAGTCAAAAATAAAAAAATGGAAACTCCCCTACACATTTAAATATTACTGAACATCTACCCACGGAAAATGTCTATAAACACTGTAGGTTTATTTTAAACATTGACTTAGGACTTTTTTTTTTTTAAACCTAGAGATGCTTCTTAAGAATTAAAACTGAGACTAACTTTGGAGAAGATTTAAAAAGCACATCCCCAAATGAGCATAAATGTCAACAGGAAAAGAAAAAAAACAAACAAGGTCACTGAGCTGAGAAGAGCAACTCGGTTGCTCTAGGTGAGCAGGTTTAGCGCAGACTGGAAGCCCGCCAACACCCACTCCTCTCCCGGCTTCTCTCAGCCTCAGGCTCTCCTCACCTTCCCGCCTTCGCCACCACTACAGGATCCACGCAGGTAAAGATGCTGACCTTGACCTCAACTGCCAAGCTGCCGACTATTTTTGATGTGGTCGTGGAAAGAAAAGGTGGTTTTTCTCACTGCCTCTTCCAGGGGTAGCTGTACTTTTAACAAACAACTCCAAGCATTTCAAGGGCTAAATTTCCACAGTTCCTGGTCAGTCAGAATTGGTAGCAGCCATCAAGAATGGCTCAAAAATTAATTTTCTTCTGTAATTTTTTTTTTAAGAATAGACTACCAGTAAAATTGATACCTGCTTTTAAAAATGTTTTTCCTAAAACGTGTTGAGGTGTGTTCTCCTGAAACATGACGCACCTGTAGAGTTCTAACTGGCCAAACAGACAAGCACCGCAGCTTGAGAAACTTCCAAGATGAAGAGAAAAGTAAACAGAAATTCAGCTGTGGAGGAATATGTTTCCAAGAAACGAACAGAATGATCTTAAGTCTCTGTGTAACAAAAGGCAATTATACAATCACACGGGGGAAGAAATCCTTCAGAATACTTAGACTAAACCAAGCAAACTGTACCATCCACTTCCGTGTCACCCCGCCCCGCCTCCACTCCACGCACGCACACGATTCGGCAAATACTTGGACCAAGGGAATCCTAGGGCCATGTGTGACCAAACCGCTGGAGGCTGGGGTGACTCCAACAGGCTTTCTACCCAGACTCGCCCAGATCAAAGCTTCTTTATGCGGTGTACAGAACAATCAGATGAAAGCGTCTGAACAGTTCTTGGATGTGGTGGCATCAAACTGGCCATATCACACATAGCATCACTACTACCCCAATCACTAATATATAAAACATGAGCTACCAGGGAAAGAAGTTTGCAATTCACATCAAAAGGTTTTTAAAGAGCATCTAGAACTCAAGAAAAAGACCGGCAACCCACCAGAAAAATGGGCAGAGAAACACACAGTTCACAGAAAAAAATAAATGGTCCATATACCATTTATGTGTGGGGAAAAGATGCTCAATTCCACACCTAAAGGAAGACAAGCTAATCTGGAAGATGTAGCCAGATTTCCCTTCGTTGGGGACTGTACTATTTAAACCTCTGCTGGCAATATGGAAGAAATGGTTCTCCCCAGCTTCACAGACAGAATCAATCACCCAACCTTTGTATTTCTGCTCATCTGATAGACGTGAGAAATTCTGCCTCAATACAGTTTTTAAGATCAATTCACCCTCAGATCCAGAAGTCTTATTTTGAGAGTCCACTCTCTACATGCATGTGTATACCAAGTCATTTAGTGCAACACTGTTTCCAATATGAAAAGACCACAGACCACCCTTCAGTTCAGTTCAGTTCAGTTCAGTGGCTCAGTCGTGTCCGACTCTTTGCGACCCCATGAATCTCAGCACGCCAGGCCTCCCTGTCCATCACAAACTCCCGGAGTTTACTCAAACTCATGCCTATCGAGTTGGTCATGCCATCCAGCCATCTCATCCTCTGTCATCCCCTTCTCTTCCTGCCCCCAATCCCTCCCAGCATTAGGGTCTTTTCTACCCTAGTAGCTACTAAAAGGTAATTTGTTACATAAACCACATATATCATCACAAGAAAATATGTAGCGATAAAAGAATGAGAACAATTTCTATGTACTGACACAACTACTGTATCACTGAGGAGAGCCAGCTAGCTGCACAATAGGGCATGCAGTATGCCACTTTTTTCCATAGGCAGAAGAATACTTATATTTGCCAGTACTTCCATAAAGAAGCACTAGATAATTAAAAGAAATTCTTTTAAAACTGGTTGCCTGTAGAGATGGGAGAGGAAAATGAGCAGATAAGAATACTGACATTTCTGTTTACTTCTTTTCATATCATTTTAACTGGGTACATGTATCACCTGGAAGAGAATTTTAAATGAAGATGGGGGGGGGGACATCATTTATAGAATCAGCAAAAGATAAACTAGTTAGGAATAAAGTAGGGAGATGTGTAAGGAAAAACTGTACAACATTCCTGAAAGACACAGAAAATGGGAAGAACTGAGAAGTCTGGCACAGTGCTTGCAAAAACAGCCACAATAATCTTCCCACCCCCATCTGAATCCCGCTGCAAGGGGACTCTGCCACTCCTCCCGGTACGTTAAGGGAAGGCTCTTTTTCCACCTCTGGACTCTGGACTCGTTCATGCGCCTGCCTTGGCCGACAGGGTAACAGCAACTGTGATACAAGCAAAGGCA